CCCTTTCCAAAATGCTGAAAGCTGCTGGATGGTCCTGTCCTGTCAGGCAAAACCATCCTGCTCATTTCTTCCCTTTTCTCGTCTTTTGTGGCATTTTTTAAAAGTCTCTCCAAGATTCCCAAGCCTTGCTCATCCCTCCCCTCGTGCCATCCCAGGGACTGCTCTGATGCTCCTCCAGGGATCCCAGTTTGGCTGAGCAGCTTTGTGCCTGTCTCTGCAGTGAAAGCGATGGAATCCTCATCCCTGGTGGGATTTTGGGGATTTTTTGGGGTGTGGATGTGGGATTTGGGGACRTGGCTCAGTGGAAACCTTGGCAGCRCTGAKTTAATGGCCAGACTCMAYCTTRGAGGGCTTTCCCAACCAAAATGATTTGTTTTTCCTGTAATAGAGCATTTTTGGTGGGTGTGAGGAGCACGTGGGGAGTGTTTCCAGCCCAACCCCGAGGAGCTNCTGGGAATTTGGATACTCTTGGGCATTCTCCTCATTCCTGATGTTGGGAGTTTTGGTGCCTTTTTGCAACATCAGAATAGCACGGGGGCACTCGCTGTGGCTCATCCTTGGCTTCCTGCAGGGCTTTGTGCTATGGAAAACCCATTTTCCTGTGTCAAATGACGTTTTTACTCAAGGAAAGCCCCTTCCTTGGCCGTTTTTGGGGCGTCTGTGATAAAAGCAGAGCTCCCAGCTCCTCATTGAGGACTCTCTTCTCGCCCGGCCGGCAGTGAGATAAGAGGAAATCTGACATCACGGCCAGGAAATGCCAAAGAAAGTCCCTTTCGTCATTCCTTGGTGGGGTTATCTGCCCCAGCAGAGCTGCAGAGTTCCCTGCACACCACAGGACACGTTCCCTGCCCTCAGCTCTGGCCTCGTGCCCTTGGGTACCCTCCCAGAGCCCCAAGCCCTCTCCAAAATGCCCTTTCCAAAATGCTGAAAGCTGCTGGATGGTCCTGTCCTGTCAGGCAAAACCATCCTGCTCATTTCTTCCCTTTTCTCGTCTTTTGTGGCATTTTTTAAAAGTCTCTCCAAGATTCCCAAGCCTTGCTCATCCCTCCCCTCGTGCCATCCCAGGGACTGCTCTGATGCTCCTCCAGGGATCCCAGTTTGGCTGAGCAGCTTTGTGCCTGTCTCTGCAGTGAAAGCGATGGAATCCTCATCCCTGGTGGGATTTTGGGGATTTTTTGGGGTGTGGATGTGGGATTTGGGGACRTGGCTCAGTGGAAACCTTGGCAGCRCTGAKTTAATGGCCAGACTCMAYCTTRGAGGGCTTTCCCAACCAAAATGATTYGTTTTTCCTGTAATAGAGCATTTTTGGTGGGTGTGAGGAGCACGTGGGGAGTGTTTCCAGCCCAACCCCGAGGAGCTCGAGAAGTTGGCTGTTTTCTGATGAATTTGCATGGGAAATGGCTCCTGCCTGCTCAGCGCAGGTGCCACGGGTGCTCAGTCATTCAGGGACCACAGGAGGGGCCCTGGGAGCTGAAAAGGGGGGTGTGAGGATGGGGTGAGGGGCTGTGACACCCACAGGGCTCCTCTCCCACCCCCAGAGATGGAATTCCAAAACATCAGAACCATCCGAGCTGGGGTGGATGGGCACAGCCCTGCTGGGATCCGTGTGTCCAAAGGGGAGTTATCCGAGTGCTGGAGTAGCTGGAGTTATCCCAAATGTTGAATTCTCCCATTTTGGTGTCCCTGAGGGTACCTCCAGTGCATTTCTGGGTTTGCAGGACGGGTTTGAGCAGCACAAACACTCGGCAGCGCTGCCCTTTGTATGCTCTGTGATCATCCAGGGAGTCTCTAAACTCACTGAATCCAGCAAAAGAGAGGAAATCATGAAAATCCTCCTTAAAACAGCACCCCAGGAGCTGCTGAGGGGCTCCCAGGCTGTCCCAGCCATGCTGAGTGCAGGAGGAGGAGGAGGAGGAGGGTGGATGATGGCTCCCCATGGGAGCAGCAGCTCAGAGCAGTTCAGAGCAGTTTTCTCCCCCTGTGACTTTGCAGGGTGGTTAAAAATAAGCAGAGCTGTTGTGAAACCGGCTGGGTGCAGGTGATGGGGCCCTTCTGCTGCCTCTCTCCAGCTCTTCACAGCCCTCCAAGGTCTGGGCTTTGCTCATCTCTTGTCAGGCTTTGCGGTAATTTGCTTCACTGGATGAGTTCCTTGCTCTGTTTGGCACAATCCCATCCCTGCTCCWATTCTATATTCCCTCTCAGATGATCTTTACAGTGCACAAAATCTTCTCCCCAYGCCAAGCACTGGTGCTGGGGCTGTTTTAGAGCCTGGAAATGTTGGCATCCATGGAATTTGC